CTCTTTTTCCCTCCCTCTTTTTCCCTCCCTCCTTCCCTCTCTCTCTCCCTCCTTCCCTCTCTCCCTCCCTCTCTGTCCCACTTCCTTTCTCTCTCCCTCTCCCTCCCTCTTTTTCCCTCCCTCCCTCCCTCCTTCCCTCTCTCTCTCTCCCTCCTTCCCTCTCTCTCTCCCTCCTTCTCTCCCTCCCTCCCCCTCCCACTTCCTTTCTCTCTCCCTCTCCCTCCCTCTTTTTCCCTCCCTCCCTCCTTCCCTCTCTCTCTCTCTCTCCCTCCTTCCCTCTCTCTCTCCCTCCTTCTCTCCCTCCCTCCCTCCCCCTCCCACTTCCTTTCTCTCTCCCTCTCCCTCCCTCTTTTTTCCCCTCCTTCCCTCCCTCTCTCTATATGATAGAGAATCAAGGTAAGAAAATCTTGAGTTTCTTTCTCGCCCTTCTCCGTCTTTCGGTGTGAAGCTGATTTTTCAAAACCGCTCTCTCTCTGATCTGCTTTGCAGAATTATCGGACTCTTTCCTGCTCAGCCTGGCCCATTTTTGTCCCACAGACGGAGGAGGAGGAGGAGGAGGAGGAGGAGGAGGAGGAACTTACCACCATGTGGTTGATGGAAACCCAGCAATCTTCGGGAAAGTCTTGCAGCATGGGGACCAAGAACTGTAAGCAGCCGTCCCAGTGACACAAGAGAAGCATCATTCCGATGAGATTGAAGATCCGGACTACAGCACTGGCCAGGTCATAGGTCATGTGGAAAATCTGGGAAGGCCAAGAGGAAGTGGTAAGCTGATTCAACCCCTTGTTCTTTCCATACACGGACTACCGATAGGCCTCCAATTACAACCGTTCGCTCAGAGACCGCTTAAAGTTACAACGGTGCTGAGTGAGGGGTCCTGAAAAACCAGTTCTCAAAGTTATAGCTGTCATGGTACAAACTGCCTAGGATTAACGATTTCCCACTGGCTTCCCCAATGACTTTGAAGCCAGTCGAGAGAAAGGAACAACCCAGCATCCTTGCTCAACGGTGGCAATAGACTGCCATCACTAAGTGATGCAGTCATGTGAGGTTTACAACTGTTTTAGGGCGGTCATGGTGCGAGTTGACAAGGACTAGCGATTTCCCACTGGCTTCCCCAATGACTTTGAAGCCAGTCAAGAGAAAGTAACAACCCAGCATCCTTGCTCAACGGTGGCAATAGATTGCCATCACTAAGTGAATCTTATGGGGTTTACAACTGCTTTATGACTGCCTTGCTTACTTAGTGACGGAAATTCAGTTGTGAGCCAACGCCTACTGATAAACCATAATAGATCGCTGGACCAACGGCGTGTTTCCTATTCGAAAAGGAATGCTCACCTTTTCATGCGAGTGCTAATGTTTTCTATTTATTGCATTTATTACCTCTTCCCACTGGTGAATGTAACGGATGAGGCGAGAGAGACGGAGAAGGCGGAGCAAGCTAAGGATTTTCGTGAAACGGACGATGCGCAACGCCCTGGCTGTCTTATACACTTCCGAATCCACTTGGGTCTCCAGGTCTACGATGAGGAAGATGTAATCGACCGGGATGGATGAAATGAAGTCCACCAGAAACCAACTCCTGAGATACTTCATCTTAATGGTATGGGGATCCAAAATGATCTCGGTGTTATCCTCCACCACGATCCCCGTACGGAAGTTCAACACCAAGTCAGCCAAGAAAAACGTATCCGAGAGGACGTTGAAGACGATCCAAGGAGGCGTGTTCTCATCCTTGAAAAAGGTGATCCCCACAGGCAGGATGATCAGGTTCCCGACCATCAACAGCAACATGATCAAGTCCCAGTAAAACCTGGAAAGGCAAGAAACGGGCAGGATCGGTCAGTCAGCTGCACCTGAACAGAGAACCTCAAAATCAGGTTTGCTATTAGCCATGGTTTAATATTATTATTATAACGGTGGTTGTTGATAGAACCCGCTGTTCTCTCTGGACTCATTTGTGCCGAGAACTCTTAGTCCAACCCCTTCACCACTACCCGACACTGCCTTTCACATGGCAACATCCAGAAAGGTGCTATAGAAAGCAGAGGTGGTCATTCAGCCGGTTTGGACCGGTTTGACAGAACCGGTAGCAGAAAATTTGAGTAGTTCTTGAGAACCGGTAGCGGACATTTTGGGTAGTTTGAAGAACCGGCAAATCCCACCTCTGACTGGCCCCACCAACCCCATCTCTTCTCTGCCTCCCATCGAGTCCCAGTTGATTGGTTGGGTCTTCTTTGGTTGCCCTGCACAGGAGAACGGAGCTGGAAAGCAGGTTAGTGGGGTGGGGAGGAGAATGGGGATTTTGCAGTCACCTTCCCCTGCCACGCCCACCAAGCCACGCCCACAGAACCCGTAGTAAAAGTTTCTGAATCCCACCACTGATAGAAAGAGACATCTATGCAGGGTGTGGCTATCTTCAGCAAAATTCAGCCGAACACTTTTCATTATTTCTAGCTCTCTCGTCATCCTCCTCCCCTTTGAACGACCCCATAATCCCTTTGTGAGGTGGAGTCTAGGCAACTGAATGGAGCGGAGTGTTTACTAGCCGGATGCCTTTCCTGTCGCCAGTGCGGAGTGTCCCCGTCCTCCCCCCCAAGCAGATAGAGAAATATCAGACTCTACCTAGGATTGAACTCACAGCCTCCTGATTGTGAGGCGAGAGCTCCAGCTCTTGGCCAACGTACCACTCGTTTCTAGCTCTCTCTCTTGTAAAGTTTTAATTCTTTTTCTGCCAGGGGTTTCTCACATTTTTGCAAGAAATGGTAAAAGCTAGTCAGTTTGGGGGGGAAAAAAACGGCACTCTGCCTGGGCTCAGAGATACCATATTCCTATTTTCCTTCACACAAACCTAGAGATCCACCTTAACACAGCCAGATGCTGGATTCCTCACCTCCATTCAAAACCTTTCCAAATATCCATTCCAAATATCCAACTTTTCTATTTCTTTTCTTTTTCCCTTTTGACCATTGACTTTCTACTTTCTCTCTAAAGAGATAGAAATCCAGGGGGAAAAAAATCCAGCCGTCTCTTCAGACTTTCAAGAAGCAATTGGACTCCCATCTGTCAGAAATGGTTGTAGGGTCTCCTGCTTGGGCAGGGGGTTGGGCTAGATGACCTACAAGGTCCCTTCCAACTCTGATGATCTGTTATCTGTTTAAAAAGAAAAAAAACCTGCTTCCCTCCCCCCTCCAAATCTTTGCTCTCTGACCCAAAACGAACGCAAAAGCGACCAAAATGAAGATTCCCAAAACACAAAGAGAAATTAAAAAAAGGGATCAACTCTTTTTAAAATCTCAAACCACCCCGGTGCCAAAGTGAAAAGGCCTCTCCTGAGTTGTCCACACAGGCATCCATCAAGAGCTCAAAAGCTTACTTACGAGGCCCCGGCTGAGTGTTGATTATCCAATAAAGATCATGATGTAATCCCCAGGTTTAATCATACACCTCGGATCCTAAAGACCAAAAACTCCTATCGTATTGCCATCGAGCCATCTGTCCCTGATCAACGTAACAAGGCCGGAAACATATGGAACGGTTTCCGCAAAGCATTCCGGGAGCCAAGCCAAATATTTTATCTTCTTATAAGACAACAAAACCCTTCTCACATCCCATCTATGTTTTCCGTGGCTTCATCTGGGTGAAGCTTCCTTTTATTTAATTTATTTGATTTGTCAATCGCTTACAAGATAATAGTTCTAAGTATAAACATGAGTAAGAATATAGGAAACAGATATGAATAAATGGGGACAATAGGACAGGGATGGTAGGCACGATGGTGCACTTATGCATGCCCCTTACAGACCTCTTAGGAATGGATATTCTCTCTCTTCCTTTCCTTCCTTTCTTCCTCCTGCTCCCTCCCTTCTTTTCTCTTCTCCCTGCCTTCTTCTTTTTCCTTCCTTCCCCTTCCCTGTTCTCCTTCCTTCCCCCTTCCTTCCTTCCTTCCTTCCTTCCTCCCACTTCCTCCCTTCTTTTCTTTTCTCCCTTCTTTTCTCTCCTTCCTTCCTTCCTTCCTTCCTTCCTTCCTTCCTTCCTTCCTTCCTTCCTTCCTTCCTTCCTTCCCCTTCCCTGTTCTCTCTCCTTCCTTCCTTCCTTCCTTCCTTCCTTCCTTCCTTCCTTCCTTCCTTCCTTCCTTCCTTCCTTCCTTCCTTCCTTCCTTCCTTCTATTTATTTATTTGATTTGTCAATCGCTTACAAGATAATAGGTATAAGTAGAAACATGAGTAAGATTGCAGGAAATAGGTACGATTAAATGGGGACAATAGGACAGGGATGGTAGGCACGATGGTGCACTTATGCACGCCTCTTTCAGACCTCTTAGGAATGGATATTCTCTCCCTTCCTTTCCTTCCTTCCTTCCTTCCTTCCTTCCTTCCTTCCTTCCTTCCTTCCTTCCTTCCTTCCTTCCTTCCTTCCTTCCTTCCTCCCACTTCCTCCCTTCTTTTCTTTTCTCCCTTCTTTTCTCTCCTTCCTTCCTTCCTTCCCCTTCCCTGTTCTCCTTCCTCCCCCCTTCCTTCCTTCCTTTTATTTATTTATTTGATTTGTCAATCGCTTACAAGAGAATAGGTATAAGTATAAACATGAGTAAGAATACAGGAAACAGGTATGAATAAATGGGGACAATAGGACAGGGACTTTAGGCACGATGGTGCACTTATGCACGCCCCTTACAGACCTCTTAGGAATGGGGTGAGGTCAATAGTGGTTAGTTTGAGGTTAAAGGAGTGGGAGGGTTTGAGGATGCAACAACAGAGTCAGGTAGTGCATTCCAGGCATTGACCACTCTGTTGCTGAAGTCGTACTTTCTGCAATCGAGTTTGGAGCGGTTAACATTGAGTTTGTATCTGTTGTGCACTCTTGTATTGTTGTGATTGTATTTCTGGTCCATTTCCCCCTCGCTTGGTGAAAGCCAACCCAATGTTACCTGCTCTCTTCAGTTTGTAAGCAGTTTGATTTAAAAATGCCTTGGTAAGACCCCACTTCGAAGATTGCATCCAATTTTAGTCGCCATGATATATATATATATAAAAAAAGGACGTTGAGGCTTTAGAAAGAGCGCAGAGAAGAGCAATAAAGAAAATTAGAGGACTGGAGGATAAGAACATACGAAGAACGGTTGAAGGAATTGGGGGTGTCTCTAGTTTAATGAGAAGAAGGACTAAGAGGTGACATGATAGCATCTTCCAATATCTGAGGGGCTGCCCCAAAGAAAGAGGGAGTCAAGCTATTTTCCAAAGCACCAAAAGGCAAGATGAGAAGCAATGGATGGAAACGAATCGAGGAGAGATTCAACCTGGAATTAAGGAGAAAATTTCCTGACAGGGAGGACAATTAACCAGTGGAACTGCTTGCCACCAGAAATTGTGGGTGCTCCATCACTGGAGGTTTTTAAGAAGACATTGGACAGCCACACTTGTCTAAAATGATATAGGGTCTCCTGCTCGAACCGGGGGTTGGACTAGAAGACCTCCAAGGTCCCTTCCAACTCTTATTCTGATTTAATGGATTTTCAGCTTCCTAGGTTTAACCACTAGAACTGCCCACCCGTATTGGGGGAAAGAATTATTTTGGGCCCGCCACGTCCCCGCAGTTGTCTGCGAAGTGCTCAGATATTTGAAAAGGGAGGAGAAATAAGTTAGCAGAGGGAGAAATTTGAATTATTGCACGTGTGTGTGTGTGTGTGAGAGAGAGAGAGAAAGTGAAAGGAAGAAACTGAGAGCTGAAACTGCCAAATTTTGCGCCAATTTTGCACTAGGAAGACCGTTCACGCTGCGGGAAAATATTTTTTTTTCCTGGTTTCCTTCCAAAGAGATCATTCTTTTGAGGGCTCCAAGGTGATCCACTGGCCTGGAAACCTTTGGCCAACAGGTAGTTGTCGATTTACAACCATGTGTCCTCTTTGGCCCATTTCCAAGTTGAACGGCTGTGCGTTGGATCGATTCCAGGCCTGGAACAGGTTCTCAAACAGGTGTCCGTCGGTTGGTACATCTTTTGCTCTCGGAGCCGCAGAGTTGGGAGCTGCCAGCTCTTCACGGTTCGGCGAGAGCCTCAAGAAGGCAGATCGAAGATGTTCTGGGTGCGTTTGTGAAGAAGTACAGATTTGTTTTGCAAATACAAGACGGGTATTCATTCCGGTGCCAAATTTGGCACGGAACAAATTTGGCTTTTAAGCCTCTAACATTCCTGGCTTCAGGCTTTGCTTGCGTTGGGAAAGCCCCAAACTACATTTTTCTGTATTTCTCCTTTTTATTTTATTTTCTCTCCCTCTCTCTCCCTCCACTGGCTTAATCTTTTATTTCTTCCTTAAGAAATTCCAAAATTAAAATCTTAAAAAGTAGAAAAAGAGAATGAATCCAAATACCCTTCCTTCCTTCCTTCCTTCCTTCCTTCCTTCCTTCCTTCCTTCCTTCCTTCCTTCCTGTTCTGTCTCTCTTTCTTTCTCTTTCTCTCTTCCTTTCCTTTCCCCCTATCTTTTCTTTCTTTCTTTTTTCCTTCCTTCCTTCCTTCCTGTTCTGTCTCTCTTTCTTTCTCTCTT